GAGCCATGGTGTTCAACCAGGTGCAGAACGCTCTGCAGGAGTGGGCCATACTTCTCCCAGGGGAGGGCTGTTCGAATCCAGAGACTTGATTCCGCAGCCCCGGCCTGCGGCGCTGCTTCTACAGAGACGCTCTCCTCACAAGGTGCCTCCCTGCTGTCTGCTCCACACCGACACCCTGAAAGCAGAGGAAAGCTAATGAGCAGCAAGTTGCCTTTGTTGTCAAGTGGCAGTTCATCAGAACGAAAGCCTAGCCGTCTGTCTGAGGGGCCAGGGGCAGGGTGAGAGCCGCTAGTTGACACTGGGCCTTGAAGGGTCCCAGGATGGAGGTTGTCCTGTGACCTCCACTTAACGTTTTATGATCCATGCACACAAATGCACTATACATAAAATGAATTTCCAAAGGGGATGCAGACAGATCCAAGACTGCTCCAAGGTCAACTTATTAGGAACTTTCTAACAGAAACACAGCTGAGGGTGATGTCAACCAGGGATGCTCTGACTCGGTCAGTGGGAGGCACCATAAATCGCCAGGGCAAAAGTGACTTCACACAGAATCTACCTGGTTTAGATGAAGAACGTCAGGCGCGGTCGTGTTGATGAAACACTGTAATGGCTTTGTTTGTGGTACACTTACAAGTTTGTGGAAGGGGGGTGCTCACTTTTAATCACAGCATTTGGGAGGCAGAGACAAGTGAGTCTCAGTGGGTTCTAGGACAGCCTGGTCTACAAAGCAAGTTCTAAGATAGGCAGGGCCATTACACGGAGAAACCCTATCTTGAAAAAAACAAAAACAAAAACAAAAAAAACCTATGTGGAAGAATACCAGATCAGGGTAAATCTGTGTCAACCATAGTGATTTCCATCCAAGAAGGCATTGGTGGAATCAAACTGGGTACGTACATCCTATCCCTTACAAGCTCACGTACCCCCTCTTCTGCAATCTGTCCTGGGCTAGGGAAGGGTTTTAGCACTCAGTTGGCAGGTGCCACGAAGCTGTTTGTCCAGAGAATAAGCAACCAAAGAGCACACACAAAAGAACGCAGTCATTACGCAAAGGACAAGAACAATCATTTCTAAAATTAATTTATTAAAAAAAAAACAAAATGTTTTTATTTGTATGTCTATAACTGTGTACATGTATGCACACCATAAACATGCAGGCTCCTGCAAGGACAGAAGAGAGTCAGATCTCCTGGAACTGCAGTTAAAGGTGGCTGTAAACAGTCAAATAGCTGGGAACTGAACCCAGGTCCTGTGGACGAGACGCAAGTGCTCTTTACTGCTGGGCCTTCTCTCTAGCCACAACTATCATGTTTTTCTTGCCCACAGAAGGGACACGATTGGATAAGACATTAACTTGGGCTTGGTGACAGAACAACATAGAGATAGAACAATAAGGACTATGTAGAGACCCCGAGCGTCTCTGTCTCTGTCTCTGTCTCTCTCTCTCTCTCTCTCTCTCTCTCTCACACACACACACACACACACACACTTCTTCAGAAGATACGAGGAAACGTTGGCATGAACGTGAGTTGGTATGAAGTCCTGTGGACAGCAGCTTGAAAGATGGCCACCCCTGACAGCTATCAGCTGAAACCCTGGCTCTCATGTAAGACTCTGCCCCCAGCATAGGCTGGACTTACTGACTCGGGTACAAGAAAGATGAAATAACGCTTTTGAGATCCGTCTCCCAGTCACTTACTAAAACAGGAAGTACCCATTCATGTTCTGAGGGTCACCATCCAATGGACATGACTGAGAAACACGATCCCAGCTCAACAGCCCGCATCCTTGAGAGGGGCAGATTCCTCCAAAGACAGGCCTTCAGAAGACACCAGATGGCTGCTTGACAGTTTGCCTGAAACTCCATCACACTCTGAGCTAAGCATTTCCCGCAATCCAAAGGGATTAAAAATGGAGTGATAACAACCGTTTTCCCCCCAAAGACAGGCTTCTCTGTGTAACAGCCCTGGCTGTGCTGGAACTTGCTTTGTACGCCAGGCTGGCTTCGAACCACGGTGCTGGGGTTAAAGGCACCACGCTCCACCACATCCAGCTATGAGATAGATAGCGTTTCAGCTGCTGAAGTCATTCCATTTGGAATCTGGCAAGCAGCAGCGTCACAGATACTTACCAAGTGTGGTCACAAGTGAAAGGTTCTCCAGCATCACACTGAGGTAGAGTAGCCTCTGCAGCTCATCCAGGAGCTCCCACTCCTCCCAGGAGAAGTCGACAAACACATCCCCAAAGGTCACACAGCCCTAGCACGATGGGAAGGGACAGTTAAGCCCACCA